TACTCCGATATTACACCTGTTAAACAGGTCTACATTAGATGTCCTATCTTGAAGGGTAACTCCACAGATTGCACGCAGATAGCTTTTATGGAAAACATCTAGCTGGCGTATATGGTACCTGTCCATGACTCTGAGCCATACAAAAGGATGGCAAGTACAACAGCTCTGTAAACCCGAATTTTCATATCCAGTCGAATACCCCGCTCATTCCACAAGCGATGGCAAAGTTTGCCAAAAGCACTGATAGCCTTAGTAATCCGATGCATGATTTTATCATCTAAAGTTCCACTGTAATTGACTTTTCTACTAAGATAGATGAAAGACTTTACATAGTTCAGGGTTTTGTCTTCTACTTTCAATGGTCTCTCTGGAAATTTGTAGACTGGTTGTTTTTGTTTCTCACCACAGAATTGCTTCGGAGTAGGACAAGGTTGGTGCACTACTTCAGTTTTCTTTATGCTAAGTGTAAAACCAAATGCTTTACATGCAGCAGAGAAATGATTTATTAGATGTTGGGCCTCCTCAAAGGATGTCACTACAAGAACAGCATCATCAGCAAACAACAAGTCATCAATAATTTGCGTACAAAGGTGGGTCTTGGCTTTGAAGCGCTGATGATTGAAGAGACCACCAGTTGTTTGAAACTGAAACTTGACGCCACTCTCTGTGTCTGCAAATGCATATTTCAGCATCACTGAGAAGAAAAGGGCAAAAAGTACAGGGGCCATGACACAACCTTGCTTGGTGCCATTTGTGACATTAAAGGATTCCAACATCAGGAAGGAGATGATGACCTTTTAGCATGTTTTCAATTCTCTTTTTGCATGAGGGATACATTCCAGAGACTACAGAGAAAAACAAAACTAAAAAAGAAATATTCAGTTCCATCCAAATATACTTAATAAAAAAAATGTTAATTTTCATATACAAATAAATTGGATTTTTCATTTATACACACACACAAACATAATCAGTCATTCAGTGTCACTACTAGACAGTACGCGTGTCCGCTTTTTGTTGTTTTTCGGTAGTGTAAAATCACTCTTGTTACTGGAAATATTTAATGGTCATATATCTTCATGTTTATCTTGAATAAAATTAACATCTTGTGTTCTTTTGTTTCACTGTTTTCAATACAAATTCACTGAACAGACGCTGTGATTTTGTTTTTGTTGGTTCTTTATATGATTCTTCATATCGTGCCATCATCATTTTCAAATCATGTCGGAATTGCACAGCTTGTTCAACATTGTTATCATTTGTAAGAAAATGATTTCCAAGTTGACTGGCAATTTGGAGGCCTTCTAGATTGCTAACAACTGCCAACACGCACCGTCTGATAGAGCAGTTAGACGCAGTCTGAGGTATGTACACTGCATAGGTTCCACCAACAATGGAGAGTAGATCACTGTACAGAAAATAAATAGATAGGATTCTATTTTACTGTACTAAAATTGTTATTTAATCATGTTACATAGAATTTTGGTATTTTGTAAAATTATAATTGATTGATGTTACTTAAGCATTTACTTGCCACTTGCAATAAATTGGATGATCACACAATCACAGATGTTTAAACTGTGTTAAAGTAAAACAAAAAAAAAGCACAAAAAAGTAATTGGTTCTTTTTGTTGGGCTACGTTATTTCAAAACTCTGCAAAGAGAGAGTTGAGTATATACACACACACACATCTCCAACAGATTTTTATCACTTTAAACATTATTTTTAATGGATACTCACATTAGAGTATAAACTCCATTTATTTATTAAACAGTATATTTATTTTCATCCATCTACCGGCTTGAATATTTTAAAAAAAAAATCTTTAAAAAAAAAATGTGTGTTCTCTGGCAGGATTTGAACCTGTGTCCCTCTGGGCAGAGGAAAACCATTGTTAGATGTGACCAGCCTTAACTGACTTGGTCACATAGCAACCATGCCAATGAAGCAAAGTTTGAAACTTGCCTTTAAATGAAATCCTTCTAATATTAAATTCCTTGAAATTTTCATATTCAAACATAAACAGATTAATTTTCTAAAGTAATGGATTTTTATTTATCAATCTGACAGATCTTTATCATTTTAAATGTTATTTTTACTGGACACTCATATTTGAGTAGATGCCCCTAAACAGTATATTTATTTTTCTTTAATAAGAATTCTTGAATATGGAAGCTGGTACATGGAAATAAATATACTGTTTAATAAATAAATAAATGGAGCGTCTACTCAAATATGAGTGTCCATTAAAAATAACGTTTAAAGTGATTTTTTTATATATATATATATGTGTGTGTGTGTGTTTGGTTAACGACCAACAAAAGTTTGAGGATATTTTTCTTGGTATTTTGAATCCTTTTTCTGGTTTCTTTTGAAAAATTAAAACTAAATTGACCCATGCTTGGCTACTTACACCTTTTTTAGCCATTATAAAATAGTTTTTATCGTATTATATCAGTTCAGTTTCATTCTTTTTCAGATATCAAAGGACCAAACAATTTTTTTTTTTTTTTTTTTTGACCTTTCTTTTCTTTCTTTTCTCTTTTTCTCTTTTTCCACCAACTTTCTTTTCTCCCCCAACTTTCTTTTCTCTAAACTTTCTTTAATCTTACAGAATATATTTGTTTGTTTCTAAATTTAATTGATTCTGGTTTATGTTAATGATTCAAATCTTTGTTATTGTTCTTTTATGTGTGTGTTTGTATGGGAATTTATAACCTTGCTGTATTACTGTTTTTATCAATATTTAAATGTATTTCTACTGAGTAAGAAGGATGTACATTGTCCCTATCGAAAGAGCTGGAACATTCCTAATTTCAACACACCACATTAACTTTAGTTGCTAAAAGTAAAAAGTCTTTTTTTTTCACTAAGCCACCAAATGCTCACTTTGAATATCTGTTGGGAAATGGTCCTCTTCTAACTTCTCATTATTAGCACCATTCATTCCATAAGACATTGGTTGCAAACAAGCAGCCTACAGGGAACCACTTTTATGAACAATTTTTTCTATAAAATTTAATAAGTTTAATAAATTTTCCCATTGCCCCTTCCATACTTTAACAGGAGAGCAGTATTTAACTAGACCTACGCACCAAGTGCTTAACAGACTGACAATCAATATTAAAGTTATCGAGGTCTAGGTGTAAACCTACAACATGACCCTCACTCAAGTTTTTCACTGACCAGTCAATGATTACCCCCCATGTTGCTTTCCAATTCTCTATCTCCATCAGTGAGCACTGAAAGTTGGAAGGGTGTACTGCAAGCTCACAAGGTAAAACGATGAAAGATAAATGCCACACTGAAAAACAAGAGCACAAGCCCTTTTTCTTATATGTAGATATTTTATTTAAGGCTTTGCTTGCTTGTTCAGGTGGGTAGGTAGATGATACTTAGGAAAGCTTCTGCTATATCAACTCTTCCTCTTACCAATTCCTCACCCATCTACTTGTCCCAACAAGTTGTTGGCAATACAAATAGAGGCTTTATGACCGCATGACTGACATGTCTATCTTCCACCAATGGTGGATCATGATTCTCCTCAATTCCAAGCATGCCTGTTAATGTAGACCAGTATACGGATATACCCTGTTTTCAGTTTTGTTGTCCCTTGATCTCAAAAATCACTTCATCCACCCTTTTACTTCTGTGTTACCCTTCAGTCAAAATGAATACCACTTACAAGACCCTCTGCCAGTCTATCAAACAGAAACACTTGAGATAAAAACCCCATTGTCCCTTTTTAACATAGATTCCCATAGTTATTATCCAGGGAAGAGTAGAAGACTTGATTTTGATGCTGAAGAACATGACCTGCATTAACAGGTGTGGGAAGACATTTTTATCTTACATTTTGACACCGTCCATGTCATAGGTAAGACAATTAACTACATCCAGCATCAAGGCCTCTGATAAGGAGGTTATGAGGCATGTGGAACCACCTTTTAATTGCTGGTGTTCCCAGGTCCACCCTGACCTGAGGTGGTAACACTTGTTAAGGTCCCAGCTATGGGTAAATAGTTAACCCCCAAACTGGGTCAAAACACTATGAAAGTATAAAAATAGGTTTTAATATCAGAAATTATTACCAGCAATAAATTTTTGAAGAAAAAATTATTGCCAGCAATACTTTTTTGAAGAAAAAAAATTGCTAACCATTGTTTAATAAAATTTTTTTACCAAAAAGCAGTAATATCAAAATACAATCTAACATAAAAAGATACAGCTAAACTAGTTTATTGGTCTTTTCTCATCAAAACTAAATCAAGAACAAAAAGTGAGTACCAAAACCAGATGTAATAAATATATATAAACAAACATTTACAGCCAACAACTTTGAGCTGAACAATCACTTTCTGTGCTCATGGGGAGACGACTGGTTGGACTTAATGTAAATAGATTGCAAAATATTTTCAAATGAAATTCAAAATTAGCCTTCCTCAGTAATGAAAACTCGTCTTTGTTACACGTTGCAGGTTTTGTAGCAAATGTTCAGCTGTTGTCGAACCAGTATCATTCATGTATCTTTAAATATTTCCTTAGCTTTGTCTGACATAAGGTCATCAATATGGAGCAGGAAAAAAAATCATATGGTCTGCTAAATGAGCCTATTAAACATTCTCATGGCAAAACATCTCCAAACTGAGGTTCATACCACATGGTTACATATGTGATTCACTTAGTGAGAATTGAACTCCCTGTAATTTTAGGGATCTAATCATTATTCAATATAAATAATGTATAAATTTAATCATAATTCACTGGATAAGATGAGCTTTGTGAGGGCACACTGTAAGAATTAAACTTGCTAGAGTAACAATAGTCTGAAATGATCTCATTAACCATTAATTTTGTTTGGATTATGAAACCAAAAGAAACCTTTAATTTTATTGGAATGTGTTCACTCAATTTTTATCTCCATGTCAGTCAGGAATTAATATTGATTTCTTTTTTTTTCTTTTTTTTTCTTTTTTTTCTCTCTTTTCCCCATCGACAGGTGCACCGGCAATTGATCCAGAGGGCAACGAGGTTAGTTGGCTTATTTTCTTGTTTATTTCCTCTATTTTCTTTATGATTATTTTGCTTGAAATGTAGGCAACTTTTCTATCTCGGATCCAAGTGTAGTATCTGTCTGATCTCTATCTCTTCTGGGCTGAAATCATTTGTCTTTTTAACCAAGAAATTTACTTGATAATATTAAGAAATAAATTTATTTAGAAAAAGTAAGAGAGAAGTGATGGAAAAAGATATTGTGAAGGAGGAAAGTTAAGAGTTTAAAAAAAAACATGGGAAAGGAAAAAATAAATATATTTACATATACAGAAAGGAGGAGAAAGAATGGATGGGGGAAGTCAATGTCGTTGACTGGCTATCAAAGAGACAATGAAATATTGAAATGCAGGTAAATGAAAGGGCATACAAACTGCAATACATAAGAAATTCTTTACGCAGGTAGAGAAAATGAAGGATGTAGTAGAAAATATTTAAATAGACTAGTCACCTTGTTAAAAAAAAAAAAAAAAAAAAATTAATTATTTGTCTACAATGATTTCTACTCTATAGAATAATTTGAAACCTGTTACCACTTATTTAATAACCATTAAGATTGTACAATGGATCTTGCTACCCATAATGCAACATTAACCAGCATATATAGTCTAACCAAAACAACACACATGGCCTGAAGATTGCGCTCAAGCATGAAACAGACTGTCACCTGGAGTTACATTAACACCGAAGGGTAATTTTTTAAACTTGTAGTCCTTTATGTGTATTAATAGTCAAATACTTCTGCCATTCCTCATCCACTTCAAATTGAAAATATGCCTCAGATGGGTCGATTTTTGAAAAAAAATTACCACCATTTAATTTGGCAAATATATCCTCTGGAGTTGGTTGGGGATATGCATGTGATAGGAGGCAGTTGAAAAATCTGCAATAACTCCACAATTTTCTAATCTATCAAGTCCGGTGTTAATAGACTCTAACCAAGCAAAGGGTACCTTTCTTTTAGGCTTAAAAACCAATATCACATTTTCTTTTCATTTGGAAAATGCTTTTGACTTTGTACATTTTCCCAACTCTTCTGAGAAAATATTCATGAATTTAGTTTACTCTGTGTTTCTTTTTCTCTGACAAACAATCAGCCAATTCCATAGTTCAAATAACTCTAGCCAATTGACACCTAGTAAATTTTGGAATTTTTTTCATGTTATATATATATATATATATATATATATATATATATTTTTTAGTTTTATCTACAAGAGCAATGTTACATGTAATTTTCCCAAGAAAAATGAATTTATTTCCCGATATTTGTCCTGTAATTTTATCAGTTGTTTTCTCAAGCTAGGCTTACCAATTCTGTTCATCAATAATTGTGACCAATTGAAATCTCACCATAGTGTTTTTAATTTTTACTTGTTACAAAATAAAATCTTAGCATTTGCCTTTAAAATCACTTTAAATGTTATTTTTAGTGGATACTTGTATTATTTGAGTAGACACTCAGTTTATTAAACAGTATACTTATTTATTTCCATCTGCTGACCTAAATGTTTGAGTAATCTTATTAATGAAAAATTTGTGCTCTTTGGCAGGATTCAAACCTGCATCTGCCTGGGCAGAGAGAGCTACCATTAGACACAGAATGTTCTAACCAAACTGAATAAGGGTATTACATAGATTTGTTCATTTTTTTTATATTTTAATACTTATTATTTATTAATATTTTTGATGACTCGTTCAACAGTGGATTCCCCTTCATTGTTTTGTGACCTCCTGACAATGGTTAACTGTTCAGTGCCTTCATAATAGAAATCTCTAGGGTTTAACTCAACAAATTCATCAAGCCACATTTTAAACTCCACCTTGTTGTTGAATGAAACACCCCTCAAATTGTTAGAAAGTGACTGAAAAATGTGGTAGTCTGAAGAGGCTAAATCAGGACAATATGGTGGGTGTGGCAGAACTTCCCAACCAAGCTTAGTCATGTTAGCAAATTGAAACAGGAGAACAGTTTTTGTAAGATTCTGTTCATAATCAAGTCATCTCTGTACAATGGTACAAATGTCTCTAGCAGCTTTGGCATGTTTGATTAAAAGCAAAGAGAATATGATATTGAACATGCTCATTCTTGTCTATTTGCATTCTATCTGAAAGGAATGTCTAATCTTAAATAAAATTTCAACAGTTTCAAAGGATGACCATAGTTACTAAGAAGCCAAAAATGCTATGGCAAATTATTCTTAGAGATCATTCACAGAACATCAAACAAAAAACAAATGATTAGATGTAACAATTTCATACATACTATGCAAGGATAATGATGGAAACAATGTATAATTGACTTAATACCATCTTGATCAGTCTTCTTATAACATGTTTCATTAGGAACCAATTTCATGTGGTTATAAGCATTCTTGTCTGTGAGTGGGGATTTCTTTTAATGCTATGTTGTTTCAGGTTGTTGGCTGTCATGGCTCTTCACAGCTTCCTTATAGATTTCTTTTGTTTAATATCTGAATTGTTATGCATGTTCTTTGGAGGTAGTGGAATAATTTCCCATTTCTATGGTTAAGGAAAATTAGCATTTATAGAGTGGTTGTCCTATCAATGTTATAGAGCTAATTCTCCTCTACTACTTGATTCATGTCTGATGAGAGAAGAGAAGTTGTCTGTGCTTTCCCCATGGGCATTGGTGTGTAGTGACAGTAACAGCCTTGGCCAGAATTTGAAAGCTGTTTGTCGATTGCATTTTCTGCACCAAAAATTATGGTGCCACCCGGGTTTGCACATGGCGATTTAGGGCTCTGTAAATTTTGATTTATTTATTTTAAATTTTATTTTTTTTAAATCTTGAAAATATTAGGTATTTCATGAATTTTAGTTTGGGAAACTGGTATATGGACAGTTTTTTTTTTTTTTTTGTTCTCCTTTAAAATGACTGTATAGGAAGAAGAAAAATAAATAATGCCTATAGAAATGAAACATGACCCACAATACAAAATTGTATTAAAAGAAAAAGGCTGTCATATTTCCAAGAGGGAATAGTGCCCCCCTATCCCATTAAAATTTTTTATAAGAATATCAGTGTAATATTCAAAAAGAGAGTCTGCAATAAAGACAGAAAAAAAAGCTATGTTCATGAAATAACTTTATTCTCTGTGACCCATATAGTTATCAATGTGCTTAAAAAATATCTTTTTGAATTTCTGCCTATTAATAAATCTTTATTTCTTCTACTTTCTTTCCAGATCAAAGACGAATTTTCCGATAGTAAGTTTTGAACTTTATTTTGCTTCTTTCCCTTGACCACCATTATTTCACCACCTCAACTGTCTGCTACTAACTGTCCTCATTCCATGAACTTCACTCTTTTTTTTTTTTTTTTTTTTTTTTTTACACCCTCACCTATTATCCACTGAACAATCTCCATTTATGTTTAATTCATCAGTCCCTCCTTGTCTGCAGAGGATTCTTTTTCTTTTACCCTTGGCTTACTATCTTTTGTTTTTTTTTTGTTTTTTTTTGTTTTTTTTTAAGTTGATACAGCAGAAGCTCCTCTATGCACATATAAAACTTGTTGCTATTTTCAAAGCACAAACAAGTGCAGGCGGGGACAATAAAGAATGATGATGGCATAAGCTCCCTATATCTCACTGTGCAAAATATATAACTTAGTGTATGTGTACACACACACAGGCAACATACCTTCATTCAAGCATGTTTGGTCAAATTATGTCTGTTTATTTTTCTTTTAATCCTCTCAAATTCTTAATGTTGTTATTAAACTCATTAAGGAAGGCACTGTAATTTTGTTTTTTTCATTTCCTTTATTTTCCCAAGTACTTTCAATCTCATCTAAGAACATCTTCAGGAGTGAATTGCTAAGACAAAAAATTAATATAATTGATAGCTGTGAATTTTTTTGCACATGGAACGGACTCTGTTAATTCAAAATGGAGGTAAGGAAGGTAACTACATACATATATATATATATATATATATATATATATATATAAAAAAGGCTTAAACACTAATATTTCATGGTCATAATTTATTCCATTGTAATCGTAAATACAATCCAATTCATCAGAATATATATATATATATATATAATAGGATTTTCCCAACCATGTAACAACAAAAGGAGCCTATGTTGTAACCACATTAGATACATCAATTCATTTGCTAGCTCAGTCACTAACACTACTTTAAAAATCTACCACAACTTTAACTGTAGAAGTCATAACATAATTTACCTACTAGTATGCACACAATGCCAGAATTATATGTCAGGAAAATCTGAATGGCCCTTTCACTACAGAATTAATAATTATTATAATCGGATCAAGTCGGCTCCCTACAAAAGATTATTACCTGTAGAAAAACATTTCTGCCTAGAAAAACATGATTTTAAAAGCCAAATAAAAATTCCCTATTATTGAAAGAATAGAAATAGACAAAAGTGATAGGAAAATACTAGAACATGACGACAAATGGATTTTGTACCTCGAAATACTTTGTCCGGACAGATTTAACAACTAAACAGCACAGATATATATATATATATATATATATAACCCCATAAATCACCCACCCACAATATTTCTCTCTCACACATTATAATCTCTGCATAGTTGAATATACACTACTGTTGCTACATAGAAGAGTACACTACCCATAAAGGGCCTAAGTTGACTCCCCTAACCCCTCTCACCCTCATCTACACAGAGGTGGTGAGGTCTCCCCCATACTGTTGTGGAGTACCAGAGCACATTCACAAGATGAACTAATCTAAAAAGATAAATAACATGATTGCTTACTGAGAGAGTGGAAGTTGAACAGAATTGAGGTGAAGTTCATGATTAACTCTTATTCACTAGACTGTGTTCTTGAATGTTGGTGCCATATTATTCTTCGGAATAAATTACTACTACTATTTTACATGTGTTAACTTATCCATTCATAATACAACACATACACACAAATATATACATATACGCACATCACACACATTCCAAAAAAACTAAGATAACATGCACATAATGCATACATCCCCTTCCCAGCAACCAATAAAGCTGTCAAAATGACCAGTGAGGTAAATCTGAGACTCATGAGTCACCCCCAACCTCTCCTTAAAAGAACTTAAAAAAAGCCTTTGACCAATACAAGGACTGACCAAAAATTAACAATAAAAATACAAATGAAAACTACAGGCAAAGTTTACTTTCTTCAGAGACAGTCATTCACCCCTGTAGTTCACTGCTAAAAATAAGTAGGAATTTTTTCTCCTGATTATGGACATGCTAGCCAAAACTAATTGAAGAACTTAATTTTAAAAGCTAAAATAAAAATATTAATATACAATCCAGTGGGTTTGAAATTTTAATATTTTTTTTTTAATTTTTTGACACAAACACACACGCATCCTCTGAAGTTGAACACACACTCATAGAATATCTATTGAGCCCTTTGGGGAGTTTCTTCTAATTCAGAATTTGTTGCTTTAATAGAAAATGTTTGAATGAAGAACTGCTGTCTAAATATATTCAGGTGTTTGGAAAGTATTTATAGTCTTTTTATTTGTTTTTTTTTTTTGCAACATGCTGACACATGTTGAAATCCTAACAATATTGAATTTATTGCTAACATTTTTTTGTTGAGATTTACAAACTCTAAGTTTCATTTAATTTCACAAACCAATCTATGAAATTTGAATAAGCTGATTTGTTTTTTGAAAAATACTTTGACAAAATGCCTACTTTGCAATTTAATAATTTTTCTTGATTCAGTTTAATTTTGTTGGACTTCATGATAAACAATATTTTTTAAGAAAATTTCTTTTTTTTCCTTTTTAACAGCAAAGAATAAATTCTTAGGATTTCTTACTCTTGAGCATGCAAAACAAAACTGGCCATGCATAAATATTTCTTTCTGGAGTCAATTTTTGAATCGTTTGACCTTGTGATTCTGGAAACTGGATTCTTGTTAAAAAATTTGTGCTGCAAAATTACAAAACACTTAAGTAGTCAAAATCAAGTTGTTGCACTCAAAAACAACTGATTTCAGCTAGTTTAGGCAGATTGTGTAAAGTTATATTTAAAAAAAATTTAATACTGTACTTTGTACTGCCTTACTTGTGTGAACTTCTCCCCAAAATTTGATTTCAGTTAGTCAATGTATGGCTATTTTAGAGGGTGCGGGGTTAACAGACTGAACTCATAGAATTTTGTATATAGATTTCACTGCAATGAATTGAGTCGTCTTACCAACTACATCTATAATTATCAGGTATCCTATCTGACCATGTTTTTAGTGCATTTCTAATTTAGGAAAACTTGGGCTTATGAACATAACGTTTCACCATCTGTAGAAGTCTTTTAGCCAGGAATTTCAACCATTCATGTCTTCTTTAGAAGCAATGAAAAATGGGTTTTGCATTTAAGAAAATTTTTAAAAAACAGTGGTTTTGCAAATTGAGAAAGCCATGCTTACACCAAGACCAGGACTTCATTCACAGAAGTCCTCGTTTTGTTTCTGATGGAATATGAAAGGTGTTGTTCATTACATGCTACTAAAACATAGAAGGGCCTTACCTGCAGACACTGATTGCCAGCAACTTGATTGGGTAAGTGAAGAATCATATCAAAAAATGTCCTGCTTTGGTAAACAGAAGAGGTCTTATTCTCCAGCATGATAATGCAAAGGTCCACTTTGTAAACAAAGACCCCCCCCACCCCCATAAAAGCATTAGAGTGGGGATGTGTTATTCTGCATTCCTCCATACTCAACAGATTTAGTACCTGTTGATTTTTAATTGGTTTCAATCACTAGAACAATTCAAGTGGTCGAACCATTCACAAATGAGTCATTGAAAAGTCTTTCAAACTCTCTCACCACCCCTCACTTGTTGGTGGAAGGGAATCCAAATTTCTTTAAATATGATATCAAAAATTTGCCTTCCTTTTTGGGTTGCATTTGTTGAAAATAAAGGTGATTAAATCTTTTTAGTAATAATATTTCAATAAATTTAACTTCTACACAGAGCAAGATAAGATGAATAAGAGAGTTTGTTCCAGGAACTGCTGGATGCTCAGGGTGTTGAAAGCAAGTGCATTGTTGTGGTGAAGTAGCCGCAATTTGTCCTGCCACAATTCTCGTCTCTTCTTATGCACTGAGCAAAGCAAACGGCACAGGATCTCTTTGTAGACTTGCTGATTGATTGTCTGGCTATGTGGCAAGAACTCATTGTGGACAATGCCGTTCACATTGAAGAACGTGAACAATCCCATTACTTTTCAGACAGACTTTGTAGGTATGTGCAAAACTTTCCAGCAGCTTCATAAAAAGTAGAGACTTGGATATGTCATGCTTTTGCTGCATTTAATATCAATAGGCTAGACATATCTGTATTTCTCTTGGTTTAATTGAATGCATTTAAAATTTTTTTTTTTTTTTCTTTTTTTAAATCTGTTGCTACAGAAACTCCTGATTCTGATAAATTGGTTAAATTTGAAAAATTACAGCCACTTTCAACCATTGTACCATCTGCCAAAATTGTTTCTGTTGGCCAGACCCTAAACTTGTATTTTATAATTGATCCCTTGTCTGATTGTACGAAACAGACTGACTGGTTTCAAATGCAGGCTCAGATTTGAATGTTTTTATTATTATTATTTTCTACTTGTTTTCTTTATTATCTTCATTTTTTTTTGTGCAGTGTCCTTTCTTCAGGCTTACCTCAAACGTGCTTTGAAAGAATTCCATCAATACAAACAAGTAAGAAATGTTACTTCTGATTTCAGTCCTTTCCCCTGTAAATTCTCTATATTTGAACCTTCTCTTGTTGTCATTACCTATATATATATATATATATAGTTCTAAGGTAAGTCAGATATAGTGTGTGTGATTATAAAAGTGGAGACCACGATAAAAAAACAAGTAGCAATGTTCTGTTTCATGCTTAAATGCACTTTTCCCAAAACACTGTCGTCGCCTGGTGTTAACCTCAGTGTCCACTTACACAAGCACATTTACCTTGATAAAGTGCCAGAGGACAAAACATATCAGCTAACATGTTTTCCTTTTGTCTTTATTCGTATATGCCGTATTTGATGTATTTGCTAGACATGATGGTATTTATGGTATTTATCAATCCACCCACGGGGATCGAATGTGGCACAAGGCCTTTTTAATGTGGGTATCTCTGAGCCCGCAGGCCCAGCCAAAAATAAATAACCATCCAAAGGGCCAGTTCTGTCAACCTCCCCCAACGAAACCCTACCCTTCGTCGGAGCTTCGTCCGGGTTCCTCTCTGGAAGCAGAGAGTTCGACAGACACCCGACCCGGCAGCTCACAAAGCGCAGATACTACACTTTGATCCTAGCCACCGGGCCGAGCGGGTATTCTTTTGATAGACATGATGCATTGCCAGTGCGTCAATGTTGGTCAAATTAACATTTTCTATAAGCATTGACTAGGTTCTAGAGGACAACATTGTACAGATGCATACATTGTAAAGGCAGCACTAGCAAACCATGTAGTGTCCACAGCACAGATCAAAGCAAATGTAACCCCCTACCCAGAAGTGTCAACATATACACTACTGTGAATCATTTACTTGAATTAAGTCTACCAGAACACATACCTCCAGCTAAATTTAGATCACAACCCTATCATGCGTGTCTCTCGTGGTGCCATGAACTTTCCAGGTCTGCATTTGCTTCACTTCAGTAAGCCTCTGTTAGTACAATTTCAGCTCCGCTATTTGAGCTATAAAAAACTCTAAAGGGCTAACAGAAGAGGAAATCTAACCCTATAGCCTTATTTCTTAATTTTCTCAAAGAGAGTAGTGACAAATTCTTTAGAGAAATGTCTCACAAAAAGTTTAATACTTTATTTCTCATCCACGCTGGTTTGTAACAATTATAGAATGACTGTCTGGATCATTGCTTTGAAAAGCAACTGAAATTAAGCTGAACAAAATAGAAGACAAAAGTTGATTAAAAATATGTTGTCTAATAATAAAATTCAAGCAAGATAATAGGTTTATCTTTGTCCAGAAATAATTTAATAATTTTGTTTTATTGGTCTACCTTAATATAACTTGAAATATATTTTTGTGTTTTAATTGTCAGTTCTGCTTTTCTTTTTTCTTTTTCCTAGATGCTGAAGGATCCATCACGTGATAAGCTGCTACCTGACCCTCTTCAATACCCATATATGCAACCTCCTTACACTTTGGTGATGGAAATGACAGGTGTTTTGGTTCACCCCGACTGGACAGTAAGTCTTTTATATTATATCAGTTTTTTTTTTTTCATTATTAACAGATTACGACGTCTATCAGAGAGATGAAATTCAAATGTTTATCATTGCATTATTCCAAAATTTGAACACATTAGCAGATAGCTATTAATGTCAACAACTGAACGCAAATAGTTATTAATTAAAAAAATAGAAATTAATGTATAATATTATCCATAACTAGATGTACTATAATGTCGGTTTTGATAAAAGTTAAAAAAATAACCATAAATACGTAAAAAATGCATATATTGATCAAAAATTGCTTTTTCCGCAATACAGCTATTTGTGTTATGTTATAATGCTTCTTACCTAAACATTAAGGTATATTTAATCACACCTCCCTAATAGCTGTTGCAATCTGTAAACTCACATCTAAATTCTCATTTCATAGGGGTTCCCAAAATCTTTAGACCATCAAATAGAATCTTTGATTCATTCATCAACCCCCAGACATGTATAAAAAAATATCAGTAATGATAATTTTTTTTATTTTTTTATTTTAAGGTAGAAATTCTTTTATTCTTTTCCTTTGTTATTGTTTCTCGATAAAATTCGTTTTATTATTTCTGTTCTTTCAAATTCTATTTTTTTTCTTTTTTCTTTTTTTTTTCTAAAGTTCTCTCTATACAAGACTCAAGAGACCCTCATAGTAGAGGGTTACTGAATTAAGTGTTAAGAGGAGGAAGTGAATATTCTGATGCTAATGGACAATCACTATCTGTCATTCTTTACTTGAAGAAGTTAAGATTGTAATTTATTCCACAAAGTAGCAATTCTCAGGAAAAAAAAGTCGTCAGTGTTATTTCGCTCTACAATTGAGATACGGTTCTTGATCAAAATATCAAAAGTAATTAATTGTTAAGTAAGGGCAAAAATTTCTTTTTCTTTTCTTATTGTTTCTCGATAAGATTCATTTTAGCTTTACATTTTGTTAATTCGTCTTTAATATCTGTCTCTATATTAGGTTTTTGTTGGAATAATAATGAGAAAAATCTTCATGAATAATACAGGTAATAATAAACACATTAAAAATAAATTGATACAGATTTTTATTAAATCTGTTGACATCATTAATGGAGAGGGTGTGTTTAATGAGCAGTCAAGGTCATTGATATTTGGTTTTAAATGGATGAGTTTTAGTCCTGAGTCACCATGTCCTTCCAGCTTCAGTCTGTTCTTCTGTTTAATTAGAATTGCATTTATGTTGCTAAAACCAGATTCAACCATTTGCAAACTTGGAAATGCAAGTCAAAATGACACTTGGCATATTCTTATTATAGTTCTGGATATGATTATAAACTAGATCCGACTGCAAGGCCTCTGATCAGGAGATTGGAGGTCTTAAGGAGCATGGTACCACCTCTTAATTGCTGTTAGAATAAGGTCCACTTTCACCTAGGGTAGTAGCACCTGTTAGGGTTCCAGCAAATAGTGAACCCCCAAACAATAATCTAAACACTAGGAAAGTATAAAAATATATATTTATCATAAAAATACCAGAAATATATTTTTATGAAAAAAATGACCAGCAATAGATTTTCATAGTAAAATATATATTTTTAGTGAAATTACCAGCAAGACATATAAAAATAAAAAAAAAAAACAAAATGACCATCAATATATTTTATAACATAATTGAAAACCTGATTGAAAAACATAATTGAAAAACCTGACATAGATTGTTTTTAAAAAAAAAAAAAAGAATACAATGATTAATCTCATTTCTTTTAAAGAGAAACAAGTTTTCACTGCTCGTTTGGTTTTCTAAGATTTTTTTGGTTTTGAAAAAACAAAAAATGCAGCCAAGTAATTATAATTTAATGATGAAATAATGTTATTCTCTTGAATTAATAATAAAATTTGAATTTTCATATTTAGATTTTGGCATTAAATAACCCATAGAGGTTTTGATATGCTGCCAAACAAAAATAACCCAACCAAACAATGATTTAATTTCAAAATCCACACCACATATTATTTGGTTCATTGTGTAGATTCAGTGTCTGTCTTTTCTGTTTCCAAATCAAATGGTCTTGCGTGTCAGGTACATGCATTTTATTATAGTTTTCAAAACAATGTTAAAATCCCCCCAATATGTTTTGCATACATCTCTGGGTGCCTCATTTTAATCTTTTCAGAATAAAATAGAAAGCAAATTTTAATAATTTTCTAATTCATTCAAAAACTTTTTGCATTTAAACTGAATATATTTTATATTAAAATTAGTAATTTTAAATTTGATCCTTTTGCTGTCAGTGAAATAACAGCAACTGAACAAATTAATAGATAAAAAAAATCAGCGGATTGGTTTATAGGATTATTTTATATAAATTTTTTTTTTTTTTTTTTTTTTTTTTTTTATATATATATATGAATGTCATTTTTAATAGAAAAACTTGAATCAATCCGTCGTCTATGTTTGTATACAAGGTAACCAAAAAAGTTCTGTCCATTTTTAAAGGAAAAAAAGAAAACGCTTCACAGTATGTGTAACTTATATTTAGTCTTCGAAGTAATCGCCATCGGCATCCAGCACCTTCTGCCAACGAGTCCTCAGCTGTTCAATGCCCTTGCGGTAGAACTCGGGCGGGGGGTTTGATGCAAAGAAGTCCGCGAAGGATTTCCCACGAAGATGATTATCCAGGGAGTGGAAGAGGTGGTAATCGGATGAGATCTCTAGACACTTCCATCCTTCACACAGCTGTCTGGCTTATAACTGATGGCCAGGCATGGTGCACATGTTTTTTATAACATCTGATGTTCCTACTTCGGATAGAACTTTTTTGGTTACCTTGTAGTTCTAACTGAACATTCCGACTAATTTTAGTTTCTGTGAACAAGGGGAACTACTCCTCAAATCTTAAAGTATTTTTCTAATTTTTCAGTTTTTTTGGTTTTCAATTTTTCCTTTTTTTTCTTTCCGTTTGTGTTTGGTTTTTTTTCTTGTGTTTCATGGTTTTTTTTGTTTTGTTTTTTTTCTTGTGTTTCATGGTTTTTTTTTTTTTTTTTCTTGTGTTTCGTGGGTTTTTTTTTTTTTTCTTGTGTTTCGTGGGTTTTTTTTTTTTTTCTTGTGTTTCGTGGGTTTTTTTTTTTTTTTCTTTTTTTTTTTCTTGTTTCGTCGGTTTTTTTTTTTTCTTGTGTTTCGTTTTTTTTTTTGTGTTTCGTGGGGTTGTTTTTTTTCTTGTTTTTCATTTTTTTTTTTTTTTTTTTTTTTTCCGTTTTCTTGTGTTTCATGGGTTTTTTTTTTTTTGTGTTTTGTGTTTTTTTTTTTCTTGTGTTTTATGGGTTTTTTTTTTTTTCTTGTTTTTTTTTTTTTTCTCTAGTGTTTTGTTTTTTTTTTTTTTTTTCTTGGTTAGGCATGTTTTGTCTATGCTGGTTTTTTGTTTTTCGTTTGTCATGTTTTTTTTATTTTTCATATGTGGATTTTGGGTTTTATTGCTTTTTATTCCCCTAGTAAAGCATTAAAACACTACTGGATTCGATCCTCTATTAACTGACCATTTTTCTTGATAGTGATATGAAGAAAGTCTCTTCTATAAAAGCCCATGGTTATGTAACTGGGACTGAAGTTTCAAGTTTAAATATTGTCATTGTTCCATGAATTTGATAAAGAAGCCTCTTCACTTTGGAATAATGATTAATGGAATTATCATTCAATCTCTTTATTTGTTTTATGTCGGAATAAAAATAAAAAATTTTTTAATGCCAAAATTGTAATTTTCCTTTTTGTCTATTTCAGTATGGTACTGGTTGGCGGTTCAAAAAACGTCCAGGACTCGATTATTTTCTGCAGCAAGTTGGACCACCCTTGTTTGAAATTGTGATTTATACTTCAGAGCAAGGATATGTAAGTATACATACCCAACTCCCACAAAGAAAAACGATACCTAAGCTTAAAAATGGATTTTAATAGTGAAAAATATTTCTTGAAGCTTTGATTTTAGCTTGAATTCCATGCTAATAAACTTAATATTTCCAGTGAGCAGAATATTTTGCTGCATTTCAAATTGAATTTACATTGATTTGTATTAATTTTGTTTTGATTATCAGTAAAATTGATACAATATAATATCACTTTAAGAGATCTGTCAACACAACTTAATTTTCTTCATTAAAAAAACTTTCAAAAATAAAATATACTTTTCTGAAACATTCTGTGAGAAGAATTAGTTGATTGTGTTTAATTAATCCGAATTGATACAAATGTTACTTTTAGTTTAAAATATCACTGAAAAACATTTTTTTATGGAGGTGGGTGTGACACATTTATTGACAACATTGTTTTTTATTTTATTGAATTTTAGGTACTTAGGCTAAAATTGACAATAAAACTTACTTTCAAAGATACTTGTTGAGGAAATGTTAGAAAATTACCAATAAATTTTTGAATTTTACTGTATTTACTGCACTTATTTTCTGATAATGTTGTATATGGATGTTTGTATTTACAAATATCGGCAGGTTTAACACACACAAGATTTCATTTCTAAATCCTTTTTCAAATGAATCAATGTCAATGAATAATGGTAAGTTTTCCTTTTGTGATAAGTAAATACAGTTTTTTTGTAAAAATTCATAAAAGTTTATTTAAATTCTCCAAAGACTTGTTCTTATAACTAATATAAATATTAACCATTACGAAAAAGAATGTCTCAAAATTTCATAAAATTAAATAAGGGGGTGATGTTACAGATACAAAAAAAAATATTTTTATCAAGATTTTTTAGAAAAGAAACATTTAAAAAAAAAAAAAAAAATTTAATTCATTTCTGAATAAGTCCTGAATGTTTCATTAAAATCTAACAATGATTTGATTTTTGCAAGAATTTACAAATCAATGTGTTTTCATCATAAAAAGACACTCAAATTTCCCATACTAATTTAGGGTCCCATTGACATCAGAAAAACAAGGCTTTTAACCAAAATTTCTAAAGGATTAAAAAATATATATATTTTTTACCTCAAAAAAATTTCTTTGATCTTTCTTAACAAAGATTTTGACAATAAAACTTAATAATAAAGTTTTGGGCATTTTTTTCATCATGTATGCTCATTTCTTAACAAATCTTTGTCGGTATCTCTAAGTAGATTGTATTTTTGTTTCTAATAAAAATGCCTTTTATGCTTTTTAAAATTTTGTAGAAAGTGAGTGTCAGTTTTTTAAACGTTTGTAGAAAGTGGGTGTCAAAAATGACTCCACAAATCTTAACACACTGTCAACATATTCTTTAGTTTGGTAACTTGGCTTTACTCTTTGCTGACTTGTAAAGTCTGCATTTTCTTAGAAAAAATTAAATTTCCTCTTTCTTTTTTTTTCTTTTTTCTTTTTTCTTTTTTTTTTGTGCCATAGAATCTGAATATTAAATAAACAGTTACAGCACTGCAAAGCACAACCTGGATTCAAGATCTATACGTTACAAAAAATTAACTTTTTTTTTCTGTATCTTTTCAGAACGCAGACCCAATTCTGAATAATTTGGATCCGAATGGTTATGTGATGTATCGACTGTACAGAGACGCAACACGCTATGTGGAGGGACACCATGTTAAAGTAAATATAAAATTCTTAACCAGATCCACTTTTCAAAATATAACTGACTGACCAAACATAAGAAGTGCTGGTGGGGCCAAAACTTTTCAGTATACACACACACACACACACAATATCCAACATCAATAGCACCACTCAGTTTCATGCAGTTCATTTACAACACCTGTGAAAGAAATATATTTATATGTATGTGCATGTATGCATATTTTCATCACACACACACACACACACACACACACACACATATATATATATATATATATATATATATATATATATATATATATATATATATATATATAGATAGATAGGGATAGGTGCTAGCTATGTTTAGAAGAAAAAATCAGGATAATAAAATATAAAGATCAATGCAAACTATTAAATCATTGGAGAGAACTAATCACGAAATGTAGACATAGAAATAAATTCCAAATTACATAAGAATATATGTATGTATGAAGATATGTACATATATAAGTGTGTTGGACAGCATGATATATTCCATTGGGTGCTCTGGTATTACTCACAATCCATAAATCTATAACACAACTAATTTACATTAATCTTAACAGGTTTAAGTTTAAATCCCCCATCACTGATTGATAATATTGGAACACCTGTAGTACAAAAACTATTTACCGAGTATCCTAGAAAAACACACTCTGGGCTTGTATAAGAAGTGCCACATAGTAGGAACTGATATTAAACTACAAAAAACAATGGTTCTGGCCATAAATAAACTCCAACCCCAGACTGCTTCCTCCAGGATAAGATACCTTATGCCCCGACCAGTCGCTAACACAAACCCATTCTCATTAACAAGGTGTCTACTAGAGGAGGACTGACATTGAAAATAAATTTAAAACAGTGCTTCAAGACAGACACTTAGGGGCTGATGATAGCCGAGTACAGAACAGTTTGAAATAGATTATACTCTATGTTGAGGTTTTTTTTGTTTTTTTTTTTGCTGTAAAAAATACATAAGCTCTGTTATAATAAATACATCAAGCTTTCTGTGGATCAGTTTTAATAATTAATATTAATAGGATCCACTGGGATATACCAACAGATCAATTACCTGTACTAAAATGAGACACGGTGGAGTAATGGATAGTGGCTAGGATTGAGGAATTCAAGAGCCGATTTTGAATTTCAGTCGAATCCATTACATTCACTTAGCTGCTAATACCCTTGGAAAAGGTATGAATCCTCCTCCTCTTCTTCTTCCCCCAGATATGGGTAAATAGCAGGGACATCCTTGGGTGGCAACTGGTCTAGAAGGAGAACTCTGAATTCAAAACCTGTGGAGGGTTGTTTAGAGACCTTGTGGCACATTGTACACGAGTTCTCAGTATTCAGCTCCTCTTTCCAAAAGTGTCGTTGGTTTTGCATAAACCTTCACCACTATAATCAAATGATATGTGCAGGTCATCTGGCTGTCAGTTTCTAGAAACTGAGTGGCTTGACTCTCGTACGTTGAAATCAATAGGAGAGTCCAGTGTGTATGTGTACTATTAGATATTTTCCCCCCATTAATACACTAATATTTTCTCTTCCAAGATTGAATTTACTAGCTTGCCACCAGTATGAAAGAATTGTTTAACTGGCATTATAACCAAATCTTACATGGGTAATTCTCCTTACACTGAACTGAAATTCTTCAAATGGTTTTGTGCTGAATGTTACCAAACCAATTTTCTGAACTGTAATGTAATTAATTCAAATATCATCAGAAAACTTGAATGTCACAGGGGCCACCAGGTGACTAGTGTATCAAACAGGCATTTGAATATCAGTCTAGCAGAAAGACTCCCAGACATCAGAGTATAATATGTAGGGGGAATTTTTGGGAATAAAGGTACATCTTTTATAGCGCAGGAAAAAAAAAATTCACTAAATTTTAATGCCTCCAAAAACGAAACTGCTCGCATCTAATCATCTGAGAGAACCCTTTTTTACCTTCCATCAGCATGGCTGATGCTAATCACCAGGAAAATGACTCTTTGCACCTTCTCGGAGTAACTTTTTCTGTTGTCATGAAGTGGAAAGATTATATTGAATCCATTGATAGGTCTGCTGCTAGGAAAGTTGGTTCACCCTGTCAGCAGGACTTCAGAATACACCAACTGCACTTCTGCAGGGTGGAAAAAGTCCCCTAAGGGGGCCACCTTTTTGTCATGGGTGGTGACCCATTATGCTTGAGGACAGGATCCTGGTGATTGAGGGCGTTGGGAGTTGGACTATACATGCACTCCTAAACTCCAACACACCATCTTGGCTCTTACTTGAGCAAGACGGGTAATTGGAGAGGCCTGATCCAATCAATCAGCTGGTCATGTCAAGCCCTAAGTCAGACTAACAAAACAAACAAAATGTGATCACATTTACCATATCAGCTACTAAACTGTAAACAGTGGCTGTATGGTCAATTAAACTGGGAAGAAAGGAATCTGACTGTTTCAACTTCTGAGGAAAGCCCATACTTAACAATCCTGGATATAGCAGGTGCTTCAAACCTCCCCACATTTGATTATACCAGTCATGTAGCCCTGGAGGAATGAGGCGAATGGGATACCTCCCCCCCCCGGATCATCTACCCCACATGGAGCTCCGAGGTGGGTGAGGAGCATGGCTGATGAATAATAATATTAAACAAAATATGAACACAGAAAAAAAAACCAAGAGACTACACATTGATACAGAAAATCAAAGAAAAAAAATTTTTGGAATTCATAGTAATCCATTACAAATTTTTAAAACACCTTCCAGAAGAGTCTCTTTTAATATTTCTTCAGATCTTCAATGATGTATGGTGTTCAGACAAATTTCCAACCTAACAAACTACTGACCCATTGCACTAACAAGACAATGGGGAGAAGTGTAAATGCTCAACTAATGTGGTACTTGGAGAGAAACAATTTCTTATCTAGTTACCAAAGTGGTCTCTGGAAAAACCAAGGAACCAGTGACCAACTTGTGCAGCTAAAATCCTTTCTTCATGATGGCTTTGTTTGAGGTCATAATGTGGTATCAATATTCTTCAATATTGAAAAAGCCTTATGATATCACATGGAAATATGGTATCCTAAAAGACATGCACAAGATGGGAATAAAAGGAAGAATGGCTATATTCATCCAAAACTTCCTATGAAACTGAACATTCAAAGTACGACATCAAAATAACATCAGACGCACACAAGCAGAAGGCGTTCATAAATAAATAGTATATTATTGAAACCATTAATACAGGAATTGAAAAATGCCTATATGTAATCTCTCAATATCATATTGAGCACCAAATATACCTTCCATTGAAAGATATCTACAAATATGTTTAAACAAGATGGAAAAATGGAGAAATGTAAAAGGAATCCATTTCTCCAAAACAAAAACTGTATGAATTTTTGTAAAAAAACGAGCCTACCACCTTGATCCAGACTTACAATTGAACGGATGCATAATTCCCATAGTCCAACAAATAAAATATCTAAGAATCATACTAGATAGCAAACTTTACTTCAAAGCACACATTGATTACCTTAAGCAAAAATGTCAAAAGGTTTTGAAGCTTCTAAAACTTCACCTGTGCATAGCGTCTATATATAGAAGCCAATGAACCACCTATAACGCTGAAATGGGGAAAATTTATCCCTGCAATATGCACTAAAACTGCAATCTAACCCAAATAACCCAACATACCAAAAACCGTATGAGCCTCAATATGCACAGTTCTATAGAAATAAACCAACAGCCATCTCTTCATTTGGTCTTTGAATCAAAGAAGCTCTAGAATAAATAAAGATCTTGATAACGTAACTCCAATCACAATAAATAAGGTATCTCTAGGGACAATCTCCAAACTTCACATAGTCTTACATTGATACATAAAAAAGATACAATCAATAAAAGGATATACAAAGAATTAAGAGACAAATATTGTGACTATAAACCATTCTATGCAGATGAATCAAAAATCCTAAATAGAATAGGTGCAGCAGCCACAAGCAGACAAATTTACAAACAAATCGGGCTACCAAATAATGCATCCATAAACTGAACTACAAGCCATAAAAATGGCACTTAAAATGATAGATAGTTCAAAAGATAGGAAATTTATAATATTCTCAGATTCCTTATCTAGTTTAACAGCAATTAAAGAAAAGAACACAAATCATCCCAATATTCAAGAAATTCTAGAAGCCCGTCATCATTTAATAAGACACAAAATAATAATATTGGCCTGGATTCCTAACCAAGTGTCAAGTTAAATCATGAAGCTGACACACTGGCAAAAGGAGAAACGAAAATGAAAATAACCAACATCAAACTCTCATATATTTGGGTATTCTCTGAGAACTATATCCATTTCATCATATACTAATTCAATGGGTGAGAGGTCAGATGACTGAGACGGCTGAGTCATAATTTCCAAAATTTTGTTCTGTTTTATTTTATTTTTTTTAAATAATTTAGAAGAGTGTTTTGAATCATTGTCTTGTTGAAAAAAGTGAATTTTGTTTTTTTCCAATTATGTGTAAACCAGATCATGTAGCATGTCTTTGCAGAATGGAATGATATTGTTCTTTTTTTCATGATCCTCTTGACCTAAATAAAATATCCAACCTTCTCTCCTCAGAAACATCCCCACACCATAACAGACCCACCACCATGCTTAACTGTTGGATCCACACATTGATCATTTCTGCTTGCTTTCTTCTCATTTACACTCTCCTCTTATTACCAAAATGTTCATATTTGGACTTGTCTGTCTAAAATACATTTAGCCATTCTTTCAATGTCCACATCTTATTCTTTTTTGCTAAATCTTTTCTATTTTTTTTTTTTTTTTTTTTTTTTAATTAATGATTTTTTTTTCTTTTTAAATATTATTTTTAAAAGCAAATTTGCAAGCTGCCACAAAATTTATTTTTTTAATTTTAGACTTGACATTTGAATTCTTTTTTTTTTTTTTTTTTTTTTTTTTTTTTTTTTTTTTTTTTTTTTTTTCTTTCCATTTGCATCATGACAGTTTGTCTTCCTTTTTCCACAGGACCTTTCCTGTTTGAATCGAGATTTGTCAAAAGTGATCATCATCGATTGGAACAAAGCATCAACCAAATTACAAGAAGAGAACAGATTTTTGCTCAAACGTTGGACAGGAGCTGATGATGATCGTACACTTATAGATTTGGCCAATTTCCTTAGAAGTAAGTAAACAACTCTTTTTGATTTGCTCTTTCTCCATTGTCTCTATCAGCTCCCAAATATATTCTATACTTATGTCAGTGTCATCTAATGCCCGTAGCACATTTGAACATACCTTAACGAGATTTTGGGACAGATGTTGAGTTGGACGTCTAAAAACAAATGACCTGTTCCAGTTTAGTTTACAAATCTACTGTACTTCTCAATTCTTTAATGAAACTCATTCTATTCATAAAGTCATTCCTGTTGGTTGTTTTTTTTTTACACCTATATATGTTATAAGTTGGAAATTAAGAATGTCTACTTTTCAGCAACTTATAAACTGTCTACAATATTACTAACACCACTTATTATAGTAGTATAACTAAAATCTTTGCAAATGACTGAAAGGAATCAGAATTAAGAAACATTTGGATCATTTCCATACTCATTAAGTCCAGAAAACAAAACACTTGTTTGCATACAAGAAAAATATAATTAAAAAAAAAACTTAGCAATGGCACTTTTAAGTTTATTAAATTTTTTTCTTGTCTTTTCATTCTGAGAGATTAATGATGTGCTTAATTGATTTCAATTTCAGAATCCATTCTCTGGGTTCAGCCCCCAAATCTGATTGATAACCAGTTTGATTACAAAACCTGAAAGTCCATGTAAAATCCTTTTAGCTGAACTATTTTGTTCTCGTTTTCCCTTTCATTGTATGCTCTTGCATTTTTAAAAGGGCCAAAGTTATATGTACTTAGTAAGTGGAAAGGTACAGACTTTATTTGGCGTGGGATGAGGGACAACTCCCCCACCATTTTTAAAAGAATTGTCAAGTATTGCCCTTCTAGTTTCCCCTCCTTTTTCCAAAAAAATGTCTAAATGAAAGCTGACAACTGACAAACAATTCACTTTATTTATTGATGAAATTCTTAAACCTGTTGTGGTTCACTTTATCGTGTAATAATTCAAATAATTAATCAACAGAGTTGTCTCCCTTCTATGTTTCAAATGAAATAATCTTAATATATGTCGCACTTACCTCACTGCTCCCCACCCCAACCCCAGTGAAGGCAAGAATGATTTTTACAATTATTTTGTATCCTAAACAGTGAAAGTTTCTCCTCTTAGGACACACTCTATTCAATTTTGTTTTCCAACATATTTTTGGCTACATTCTAGAGTATATGCAATATGCTGAAAAATACATTTAATTATTCTAGTTGGAATTAAATTTGTAGAGTGAGAATTGTTAAAAAAAATTGCATATTACTTATTAATGCTTTGTTTTTTTAAACAAAGGTTTATACAAAAAAAAACCCCAAAAAACTGGGCCAGATGATCCCATTTGTTTTTCGAGATAAAACAGATCCAAATGCTGAAAGGGAATAAAATTATTTTTTCCTTACTTTATACTCATAGTAACCAAACTTTTGAAGGTGTCCCCCACTTTGGTTCCCAGGCTATATTCCCAGTACCCAACACACAGAAAATTGGCACACACCTGTTGTTATCAGGTTTAATGCAAAATGAATCAAAACTAATCTGTTACTTTTTTTTATATATATATATATATATAAATTCGCTGTTTGTCTTGGAAGAATGATGGAGTGATTTGCCATTGCATTTGCCTCTTTGTACAAAGAATGCTTGCATTTAGGATTGGAAAGAGATCATTGAAATTTCTAGTAAAACACTGAGGAAAGGATCTGAAATGTCACATCTTCGTGGTTGAACATGACAGTCACAAGTCATGTTTGTCTCATACACTCCTGGATTTCCTTTGGAGTTTTTAGGAACAGGATGATGGCTAGGAGTTCAGCACTTGAAAATTTCACAATTTCCTGTTGACATGATCTGAAGCAAATTAAGGAAAAATAACTGTAGGAATCCTTCAAACTGATACTTTAAATATATATATATATATATATATATATATATATATATATATATATATATATATATATATATATATATATATATATTGTGTGTGTGCACACACTCTTTCCTGCTACTGTTACAAAATAGCACTCAGATTTTAGGAAAGGGGTCAAACCAAATCCTTTTCAGCACCTCTTATATAGTAACAGCTTGAAGGGAAACATGTTTTTTTTGTTTTCTTTTTTCTTTTTTTTTTTTTTGTTTGATAAACATTTCCAAAAAAATAGAATTTTTTTTTTTTTTTTTTTTAAACTCTAAACTTTTCAGCCCCACTTCGTCTACTTATATGATGCCCTCCTCTGCTTATTTCCATGGAAATTACAACAAACACATGGAGCATGATGACACAATTAGATAGGGATAGCTTTCAGCTACAAAATTCTTTTTTTTCTTTTTTTTTTTTTCATATAGACACTACCATTGGCAATGTGCAAGAGGATCATTCTAAAGGTGGCTCACCACTGCTGAAGTACATTACCCAATACTTTATTATTCTCACAGTTTGGTAAAAATTTAACATTGATGAATTCTAGTGTGTATTTTTTTTTTTTTTTTTTTTTTAATCCTTAGTATACACTTTCATGTCAGATGACGTTTTGCCAAACTACTGCTGTTACAAGACAAAAAAAAATCTTGGGTTTTTTGACAGGAAATTTCAACCTCTACAAACATTATTAGGGATCCAATGATCAGCTTTACATCAAGCACTTATTAATTAATAATTAATCCTCTAGCTTTATAGGATTTTATTTTTTTAATTTATTTTTTTATTTATGGTTATTGACATTTTGTCCAGTTCCTATTTGACTCTTTTTTTTTTTTTTTTTTTTTTTTTGTGTGCGTGTGTGATTGGAATTCTTAATTTTGGTAACAATTTTTCATATTTAAATGAGTTGGTTGCCAAATTACATCAAGGCTGCACAACTGGTTCACGAGATATTCAAAATAGATGGATACTTTCCAGACATAGCTTGCTTGTAATAATTGATCACTTAAATAGAAATATCATAAAGATAGGCTGATCATTGTTAAACCCTGTCTCAAACTGACAAAATAAATTAAAAGAAAAAAGATTATCATTGTTAATAATTGTAACATTCAAATGCATCAGTTTTTACTAATGTTCCCAAATTTGTAAATGTTATGATGGGGAGCTGAAAAGTTTCTGGCCTAGTCAACTTCTCAATATTAATACTCTGATGTCTGGTTATTGAAATATTGATTTTTGGGGAAGTGAGCAGGGTCGGGAAATGTTCAGCGCCCCCCCCGTTTTTTATTATCACCACCACCACCACCTGCCCTCCATAAAATTTTTAAATCAGACTATTTAACTGATAATGAAGAACTCTAAAAACAAAACAAATATCTAATAAATTTTTTGACCAAAGAAAATCTCCACGCCCAATCTCCATTGATGTTAACTCCCCTCACACTCCACCTCGTTTTTCTCTCTGTAAAGAAATTTTTTTAACTTTGATTCTTTTCAAAACTAAGTATGATGTAAGGGAGATAATTAGGTTAAAACTAAAAGGAAATACGATTTAAATTGAAAAATCGACTCTTACCGATTGTCGATCAATATCTGCAAATTTTTTAATTTCTCTAAATTTGTATTCCTCAATCGAATACATTATTTTTAAAATGTGATTTTTTTTTTTTTTCTTTAACACTTTCTCTTCACATGAAGTTACTTTTGCGTTCACATTCACTTGTTGAGAAAGTTTTTTTTAAAATAACAATCACCGACAGATAATGTTAAGCAAAAAAAGATAAAGAAGGTGTAACAATTTTAAATTCATTCTTGCATTACAAAGTGTTGCTGAAAAGTTATCAGCCAGCCCCCCGCCCTCCAAATCAGTATTTCAATGACCAAACATCAGAATACTGATCCTTGAACTAGGTTGAGAACTATTCAGCACATGCTCATATTAAAATTAATTGCTATGAACAACATTATAAAAAAAATATTAATATGAATTTTATTAATTGATTTAAAAAAAATTTGGGACCAATTGATTTTGATAATGGTAACCAATTGAGATATATATATATATATATATATATATATATATATATATATATATATATATATATCGGAAGATTACTTTAAATATCAATTTTTTTGTTGTTTTCCCTGACTTCAAAGTTTCTTGGTAGTATCCATTCTTCAGGGGTTCTGTTTCTTTGTTGTTGTTTTTTTTGTTTTTTTTTGTTGTTTTTTTTTTAAATGATATAAATCATTTCACTCCAAGCAAGGCAATAAAGCCACTATGATGCAAAGGGTTAGTGTGAGAGAAAATGAAAAAAAAAAAACACTATTAAGGAGAGACAACAAATATATATATATATATATATATATATATATAGTAATGGAGTATGTTATGTTATTAAATTCTGCATAGCCCATTTTTTCTTCTCTTTAAGCTTTATCAATGTCTGGAATTGAAGATGTTCGTACAGTTCTCCAATATTACAGTGAATTTGAAGATCCAATAGGAGCCTTCCGTGAGAATCAGAGACTCCTTCAGGTGAGTGACAGGAATTTGGGGGGTAAATATTATTTATTATCAGGCAAGAAAATTATCACTGCCAAATTATAAAAATCATCTATTTTCACAATATCACATGCACTATAGCAATACATAGATTGTGACAAAATGGTCGCCAAAATGCGCATTATGGTTGCTATCTGAAACTTAAACAGTTTCACAAAAATAAATCTTCAGGCATTATAACTTAACAATAAAATGTCCAAACAGTTTTTTTTCCTGTTAAACATTTCAAGTCTCATTTTGATATCTAAAGATTTTCTTTTTCAACTTGATGAATACATTTTATTCTTTCTCATGAAACATGAACCATAGAAGGCACAACTATTGAAAGATTGTAATAAAACAACCGAGATTAGAGATCCTTCTGAATTAAATAGAAATGTTTATTATAATATTATTATTATTATTTCTCATCTTGGAAAGTTCAACAAAAAATAATTAACTTTTAAAGTTTCAAGATATTATAATCTTCTTTGATCATTCTTAATAGGGGCATATTGAAATGTTATGATAAAAACAACCAAGATGAGGATATTAGACTGAATAATGTGCAAAATAAAAGATGAATAGATTGTGTTGTCTTCATCAGCATTTTTATATACTTTTCCTTTCTGTAGCAAATTAATCAAAATACAACCAAATGGAATCACATTGGATTAATAATTACAAAACCCAACTGAAGGTGCAGTACTTTTACTGATTTAGTGTATAGTTATTATTAATTGATGTTATCAAAGAAGAGCTCACTATCTCTGTCTGTGTGTGTGACCTTGCATGCACATATGTATATATATATATATATATATATATATATATATATATATATATATATATATATATATATATATATATATATTTTTTCTGTTGTGCATGTACCATTTAACACATACACAGTCTGAATGAAAATAAATGAAATATTCTTCCTTCTACTTTGTCTGGAAACCCCTATTCTATGCAGAGTAATAAAATCATAAATTTGTTGACAAAAATATATAAATTTTTAAACACTGAAAAAGTTAATTAAAAACGATTTTTATTAAATTATTTGGGAAGAAACATTTTTTTTTTTTTTTTTTTTTTTTTTTTTTTGAGAAATATTTTTTAGGTCTAGCATTGAATTAAAATATGCGTGTACACACAATCTGAATGAAATTCATATCATGAGGGTTAAATTTCCCTTTTTGTCTGGTAATGACCAGTAAGTAACAGGAAAAGAGTATAAGTTGAAATATGTGACCTTTTGGTGTCATTTTTATGACTCTTTCTATATATTCATATTTTTTATGACTCCTTCTATATTTAAATTGAATATATTTTCTAATGACTGTGTCTTTAAATGGATAAACAATTTAGATTTGAAATTTGAACATCTTGCCTTCAGCAAAGCAACATGAACCAAACTAGTATTTTAAACAAAAAAAAAACAAAACCTGTGACGGTAATTACCGTAGTTGGTGAAGCCTGGTTGGATCTTATTTCCATTTCAGAAGAGAATATTAAAAACATTTGTCGCTTGGTATTTGATCAATTGAAAAAGAAATACCAATTCAGAATATTCTATTTTTTTTTTTTTTTTTTTTTTTTTTTTGAGTGACATAATCAACAATTTATAGGAAGCTTTTCAATGCCTCTAATGTAAAAGGTCTCATTAAAAAAAAAAGTTTCCACAACTGTTGTACCTTTTCATCATTGATGTTTTCAATGATTTTGCAATGTCAAGAACAAATGAAAATCAGAATATGTTAAATGTGAAAAATGTTGGCAGGTGTGGGGAGGGCTCAAAACGTCCCATCATAGTTCTGTTTTTGATTAGTTTTCTCTGCATTGCCAAAGAAACAGGTTTCGACATGTTATACTGGAGAATGATGTCTTTTCTGTTTACAAGGGCTGGAAGTATATCAAGTTACTTGCAGTACTTTTCAGAGTTGATATTCTCATTTTCTTTTTAGAAACAGGTGCCTTTATATCCTGCCATATTGAGAGCGCAACCTTTTTTGGAACTAATCCTCATTTACAGGTTGAGGTTGTTGGTCAACCAGGTTGGCAATGAAGTTTTGTTTTTTGGGGTTTTTTTTTCTCACAATAAGTTACCCATTTTTCATCTCCAGTAAATATTCAATTCAAAACCAAGCAGAGGACAAATGGTGACATGATCTCAGTAATTTAATTCATGAGGCATCCATTATAGATGTTTCTTAACAAATCCAAGTTTGAAGATAAGATAAGAAATCATTGGTTAGACTACATCAATCATCTTGGCTGGATTTGAAATGATCGAAGAAGGATCATACATCAAAATATTCTATATGATTTCATCAATAACCACCGATGATCATCCAGAGCATGGTTTGAAGATGAAGATTGCCATGTTTGAATTTCTTGAACCATTTTCCGTAGATTTTATCAGACACTACATGATCTCCAAACGCTTTATAAAAATTTCTGGAAACGGCAGATGCATTCATTCCTTTTTTTAGTCCTGTAAAGAATACAATGATGTAAATGAATTCCATCCACTAACATTGTTTTCAGGGTTCATGGTCTGAAATCTGAAAAAAAAGAACAAATCAAGTTTCAGTGCTGTTTTATTATCAATGCAATATGATAGATTTAGAAACTAACACTCTGTTATTCTATCTAAAAACAGAAGAAACTTTCTGGTAGACGTAATACTTCGAATGTAATCAGACACTTCAGCCATGTTCCCTAGTTGACTCAATTCAAAATGAATTTCTTTTTATTACAAATTTATGACATTCTAATACAGGTTTGTCTTATGCCACTATTTATGTTATGCAAAACAAGAAGAAGAAGAAAAATTGATGCCATCTCTTTCCAAAAAATTGTTCCCAGTATGTTTTTGATTATGAGTGCAACTGTCTTCCTTATATGCCACATTGACAAAATCATGATATTTATAGTTTTTCTCACAATCCTCAGACAATTGTTTTCAGTTAGATATCGATCAGCACTGACTTCCTCCATCTAATTACTTTTAGTTCATTAAAATCTAGCATCCTTACCAAAAATTTTGTTCATCATACTTGCCCCTCCACCCTCCTGAATCTGTTTCTTGTTGACATGATGACTTAAATCCTGAGTAATTGCAAAGACTTTGAAATTCTTTTGTAATTTTCAGTTTTTATTGCATCAATAATATCAGATAATGCATTTTTTTTAAGTTACACATAACCCAAGAAGTTTACTACACATAACTTGGGGCTGCTTTTGTCACCAAACAATGGGCACTAAAAGCTGAGCCCAGTGAAGTTAGTCTGTTGACAATAATTTTAATAAATGTAATAAACTGCCAGAATTTGAACTTGGCTTGTACATTTCTCATTCTAAGCCTAGTGGCACCACTAACCCCTTTCATCTACCCATACATCCTCAAGATTCCATTATAAGTTAACCCCCACACACACACTTTTTCATGTCGATGTGGAAAAGGTGGAGATATATATGCATACACACCTTGGTCCTCCCCTTCAAAGAAAGACCCCATTTTCATCACAGGTTAATTTCAACTTTGACCTCCAGTAATTTTGACCAAATCTTCTCCAGTTGGAGAGAGAAAAAAAAATATGAAAGAATTACTAATTTCCCAAGCCAAGATACATGACTACAAAAATGTTAAAAATTTAAAAGAGAACGGTTAAACCCATGATCATGAGAACGGTTAAACCCATGATCATATGTTATTCAAAATAGATAACACATAAATTAATCCCAAACTAAATTAATTTAAATACTAATTTGCACAAAATTTCTTAAAAAAAAAAAAAATTTCAAAAACATCATTTACTGACTTTTGTTTATTAGATATTGAATTGTATCGCTTTATGTCCTCCATACATTGTTTGACTTTTCAGCTAACTTGATGAATATTGATGAGTGTTTGTAACTCAAAAATTTTGAAAAACCAATAACATTTTTGCTCTTGTATATAAATACTTGTTGCAAAATAAAATCCTTCCATTTGCCTTGATAAAGTCCATCAGAGGATGAAACACATCAGCTAAGGGAAATTTTCCTTTTGTCTTTATTCATATATTTTAACATCTATATACTTTTGTGGGTACTGGGAGCACATTATACTCTGGTTTGCATGCCAAAATGATATAATTACACATTACATATGAGTGTCTAAGGCTTATATTCCAGAAGTTTTTTTTTTTTTTAGTTTTTTTTTTGTAAAGGAGATTGTTCCAAGAGTGCTTTAGGTTTTCAAAGGTAAATAGATGGTTGAAAATGAAACAGATAAAGAAAGACAGCCATGGGATGGTGTAGTTCTAAATCTGTACCTTTTTTTTATGGTTTTTTTTTTTCTTTCTCTCTCTAGTGTATTTCTGTCTCTTCATTTTCTCTCCTACCCTTCTCAGCTCTGTTCAGAGATGAAAATATTGACACAGGTGTGGCAAGGTAAGGTGTACTTGAGTTGTTCTGCTTTCTCTTCCCAAACAGGACCCCACCCTATTACCAATAATGGCAAATTCATTTCAGTGTAAATGCACCAAAAGTTCTTTCTCCTCCATTCCCCCCCCCTATCTGAATGTTTAATTTGAAACACTTAATAAATCTTGTCTGTAAGCTTTTCCGAGTCATTGTTACTGGTGTGGTCCTACCTGTGTGCATGCAGGTAGGGGACAGCAGGAGAGGCTATAAAAAGGTAAAGGCGACTCTATTCTCTCTCTCCCCCTCCTTCCCTCACTTTGTATTCATCTCTCCATGAAAGCAGGTATTAGAAAATCCTCAATCAATATTTTCAATCAATTTTTCTATCTGCTAAAAAAAAAAAAAAAAGTCCTTGCCCCAGTAAACTAGAATCATTGTGTTGTCAGTTTTATTTAAGCTTTGAAAAGATTTGATTTACTTAAATAGAACCAAATCCATCTGTATTAGAGAAAATAGAACATGACAATGAAAGAGTGAATATGAGAAAAGAATCCATTTACATATAGTGCTTAAAAAGGGAA